TCTCTCTCTCTCTCTCTCTCTCTCTCTCTCTCTCTCTCTCTCTCTCTCTTCCCTCTCTCCCTCCCTGTGCAATAAGCTTACCCTCAACCATTCTACATTTTTACACAGAGTTACATTCACAGAGTTAAATTTAAGTCCCTATTTATATGGTTATGAACTCTGTTCTGGTCCCCAGGGAGCCAGCAGGATGTGCCAACCGAGTGTGTCTCCGGTGTCACCACAGACCCTGGCCCCTTCCACCAGCCCCACCAACACTTCCCACACAATATATCGCATCAGTGGCTGGCTCTCTGGCTGTTTATCTCTCCAGGCTGCAGGATACAGGCTCTGGGTTATTGGGTGACTGGTGACAGGGGAAAGCTAGGCTGTTGCTGAAGGCAGGAGGTGCTCTGTCCCCAGGTGTTGGGGTTGGCCTGGCCTGGGCATGGATTAGGGGTGAGGGGATGGAAGCCAGGTCAGATCCTCCCAGGCAAAACTGACCTCAGTTCTGCAGGTGTTAGCAATGTTTTATACAAAAAAAAAAAAAAAGTCTTCAAAGTCAGCCACTTGGGAAAAGCTGAGCTTAAAAAATTAAGTAAGATTCTTTACTGTAGAACATTCTGAATCTTTTAATAAGCTCTATATACATCAGAAATCTCCAGACATGGGAGCCAGAGTGTAGTATATTACCTACACTTCTTTGGCCATGGGATCATTTTACCTTTTCCACCAAAAGCTTCACAAAGTCACAGGGCCATTTTCTGAGAGATAACTTTGAGCTCCCCTTAGGTGACAACAGGGGCTGGGCCATTGTACCCTTCTGGCAGCACCCACTAGTCACGTCCTATCAGGTCCTGGCTGAGTGGGAAAGGGACACAATGTGTGCCCACCTAAGGATCTCCCGACAGTCTCTGAAGCATGAGAAATGGGGACGCAGGCCAGGTGTGGTAGCATATGTCTATAATCCCAGCAGTTTGGGAGGCTATGGCAGGAGGATCTCAAGTTCAAGGCCAGCCTCAGCAACTTATCAAGGTCCTGAGCAACTTAGCAAGACCTTGTCTCAAAATGAAACATAAAAAGGTCTGGGGATGTGGCTCAGTGGTTAAGCATCCCTGGGTTCAATCCCTAGAACAGAAAAAAAGGAAGAGAGACCCCGGCCCTATAAGAACTGTAAGGCTGAAGGGACAGGATGGGGCTGTGTGTGGAAACATGTCATTAGGTTCAAAAGGCACCTGTCCAGAACTGCCTGCTCAATAAGGGCCAGATTAGGGCTTTGTGGGACCTCTGAGCCAGCTTCTCCAATTCCATCATTCCCTCCTGAGCATCCAGGCGACCCGTTCCAATCTCAGAAGACTCACCAGACCTGGCCAGGGAGTGCTCAAACACAGGGTCTGTCTACAACCTGTTGCCATGCAAGCAAGAAAGAGGAAAGGAGGTCCCCCCTATATTCCCAGCTCTGGGAATTGTGCCCAACACATAGTAGCCTCTCCATACTTGCTTTGAAGCAAAGAAAAAAAAAAAGAAAAAACAAAATGTGGCTTTTACCTGTCTCCTCGTGTCTTCCCTCTTCAGAGACCCTGGCGACATCTGCAAGTGAAACAGGAAGTACACTGAAGTCTCCAGTGATTGATTTTTACTCTCCTTGGCCACACCTCCTGCCTCTCGTGACTCTGAGGGTGACCAAGAGGCATCATGGATGTGGAGAGTAGGGAAAAGAAACAGTGGAAGGAAGGTGGGCTTGGGGTCAGATTGAAAAGGGGCACGTCCATATCTAAGGTCAGGTCTTAGTGTTAGTGGATGGGTTTTCTGTATCAATTTTCCAAGCTGGTTTCTCTACAACTCTTCACATCATTGTGCTTAAAGGTATTTGTAGTTTGGGGACACCATCTGGTTACAGTCATTCCCATGGCCTTCCATTCTGGACAGAAATGGCGGGAAATCTGCTCACTGACACTGATGCTTCAGAATCCCCAGGGTGGAGGGAGGAGCTCGTAGCCATCAGGAAGGAAAAGGCTATCTTGCATGAAGTGTCACCGAGTGGGAAAGTCTCAGTACTGAAACCTCACCACTTTTATCAAGTTTCTTGTTTTTGAGTATCTCAAGAGCAGAACAAGACAGCAGCCCAAACTATGCAAATCCTACAGATGATGCAAGAGGCTTCTGAGAAGTCTTCACTTTGACACCACTGTGCGTTAAGGGCCACTGGCCAGAGGAATGGAAACTGAAAGAGTAAAAACAACTTCTTCAAAAAGTAGTGCTATTTTTGAAAGATGGAGTAGGAGGATAGTTGTCCCTTAGAATCTGAGGGCGATTGGCTCCGGAACCCCTCAGATACCTGATGAACCCAGCCTAATTCCATCTTAGATTGGGAGCCATCTTGTCACGAAGTCATGAAAAGTAATTTCTGTTTTACTATAAATTATTGAGATTTCTAAACTTGCTTGGAATGCCTGCCCGTGCCTTGAACTCACCCATGATAATAACCTCTCTGAAACCCTAATGGCACCTCATAAATTCTGGCTTTCCCTGACCAGATAATAACCCTCTCTGAAACCTTAGTGGCAACTCAGAATTTTCTGATGTTGGGATCTAAATATACTCCCTAAGTGTTGAACCATTTAGACCATTAACCTACTACCTGCCTTTGTATTATGCTTGTCAAAATCCTATTATCTGTAAGTTCTCAAGACACCCCCCCACCCCGCTTTTTGCAACCTCTTGTGCTAGAAAATTGCACTCTTAGAGAGCTGGGATACTGTTCTCTAACCCACGGATTTCGGGAGAGACAGTCCCGTCTGGTTGGAATTACAAGCTTGCTTTAATTTGATTTAAAATAGGAGTTAGTGGTCTGCTCTTTGTGTCATGGTTTAACATTTGGAGGCCTGAGTGAGATCAGACCACCAAAAATTCTGAACCCGGACCTTCACTCTGGGACTCCAGGCTGGAGAGCCGCTCTGGGGAGTGTGCACCTTGAGACATTCCAAGGCCCTGGGGTGTGACTTCGGTTTATCGGATTGCTGGAGTGAACTGCAGCCCTAAAACACTTAGCAAGCATTTGGTGGAGGAGGCCTCCATAGGTAAGTGGCACCTGTATAACATCTGGTATCTGGTTAAGAGAGATCTCTTCTGGGGACAGAGAGGAGCCTGGCGAGGCACCTACACTCCTGTCCAGGACAGTAGCAAAGTGTCGCTCTGGTACTGGTTCAGTAAGGAATTCCTCCGGAAGGACAGTGAGGTACCCGATGGGGTACGCACACACTCCTGTCTGGGAACATTAGCAAGACATTGCCCTGCTCCCTCGGTTTTGGCGCCTGGTTCTTGTTTTCTTGTGTCTTGTTCTGTGTTCTCCATGTTTTTTCCTGCCTTTTTGATGTGTGTCTTCTCTAGTAGAAACTTAAGACAATTGAACATCAAAATGGGTAATAAGGCAAGCGAGCCTGACGCCCCTTTGAGCTGTGTTTTAAGGAACTTTGGTAAACTTTACCCCCCTTAGTTAAGTGGGATTAGGGAAGCAATGTTTTCTTCCTCTAGTTGGCTGCCTTGAGAACACCCACTGCAGAGGTAAATGCCTGCTGGGGATCTAGGAAATGAATATCCCCCAAATTAACCTGCCATTAGGGCACCCTGGGAACCCCTACCAAAATTAACTCTTGGAAAATTCCTTTAAAACCCCTTGTTCCTCCAGATCAAGAGAGTCACAACCTTTGGGACAGATTCCCCCGTGTTTCTCCTTTGTTAGCAAAGCAATAAACCACCTTTTCCCTTTTCTCAGAACCCTCTCCTCATTATGAAATTGGCATTAATTGGCTTCGAGGACAGGAACCAAACTTTCAGTTAAAGATTTTGACACCCCAGGTGGGATTCCAAAGGAGCCCCCACTCTGCTTTCTTGGGGAAGCCTAGCACTCCAAGCAGCTGCATGCCAAGGATGTAAGATGAACTTTTTGAGAGCTGACTCCTGGAAAGTTAGGAGACATGCGAGCGTGCCTGGGGTCGGACTGAACCAGAGGAGCTATTCCTGTAGGTAAAAGGAGGGACTGAGGGACTCCCAGCATCTGCCGAAGCCCCTTTTGCTTGGGGGAACCCCCGCCTTCCTTCCCTGCCCTGTGAGGATTGCTCCATCTCTGGGTACTTTAAAAAAAAAAAAAAGGAAACTGAATGCAGTCAAGTTGCCACACTGAGACCCTTGGTTTTACACTTCTGGTTCCCCCTTTGTGAGAACATCTGGTCCACTCGTGGGAACATCTATGGTGCCACTGGTGTGGGAGTCGTGGTAAATGGGAGTTAGAAACTTGGGGAGATTTTTCCCTTATCTGGTCTGTCTGTTTTAAAGGCTCCTGTCTGTCAGCCATAGTTTGGGGCTCCTCTCTGTCTGTCACTGTGTCTTTGTATCTGTTTCTGGCCCTTTAAGACATGGGCACTAATGTGTTGATATTATAGATTGTTTCTTGGGAATAATCTTGGCTGAATGGGCTACTTATAGATGTAAATGTGTCTAAGGAGATGATGTTTTACTGTAACAATCTGGTATCTGAGTGGGTTTTTGAAGCATGGCACATTCTTGCAGTTAAAAGTTGGCTTGTTAGAGATCAAATAATTAATAAGGAGTCTTAACAGTCAAAAGCTGAGTTGGATGCAAAGGTGCTGCCTCTAATTCATGAGCACAGCAGGACTCTCAGGAGGATCCTCCCCCACCCATAATTCAGCTCCTCTTTATTCTCTCGCCACTTTCTTTCTTTCTGGAGGATGATATGAGCACCCGATGGCTACTGAAATGCAGCTAATGCAGCCCCAACTCTTGGAAATTCAGGAGAAAGGTATCCCAGCCTAGGTAGCTCTCAGTCACCGTCAATACAGAGCAGGCGTGTTGGGCTCTGCCTTCTGAAGCCGTTTCCTACTTTTCTGTCCAGGCTCAGAGAGCAGTTGTCGTGACTACACAGTGTCCCAAGTTCTGATCTGCCTTAGATGTGTGGAGGTAACCTCAGCCAAACTTTAACCTCAAATGCCCCAGGTACGCTTCTCCTGCTTCTCTGTAGGGGGCCAGAATAGAATAGAAGTGCCAGCTTTTCTGTTCTCACCTCGTACCTTAGACCTCTTAAAAATAGCTGAACAGCCTATTACCAAAAGGTTTACTTCCCGTAAGTTAGGAGCAGGCTTTGGAGCAAGATTTATCCTGTTTGTCACTGAGAGAGGAAGACAAAACCTAGGAATAGCCACACAAGGAAGTGGACCTGTAAACAGCAAATGGCTTAGTTCCTCTTAGTAAGGAACTTAACATCATAGCTTTGTTCCCAAAATCAATAGGAAGTAAGGTATCATAATTTTAGATATTCAAACCTGTCCAACTACCAACTAGGAAAAAATGGTTAAAATGCCTTAGGCTTGAGGTTTCTGCTCAGAATAACAGTTTTCCCAGCTCCTTCCTGACCTAAGCCAGGACTCACATTGAAATGCAAATGGAGGCGCAGTAAGAGACCAGTCTCAGACCCTAAAACAGGAGAGAGAAAGTGTCCTTTACCTGAACTTATATTAGACTAAACCAAAAAGTAAATTGTATGATACTTTACTAATTACTGGCCGGTCATTTTTTCTAGGACTCTTGCTTTTTCTTAGATTCTGTATGTTTTGAGCCCATAATTTTGATCCCACAGACCTAGGTTAATGTTTTTCCAATCAGCCCTATTTTTTATTCAACTATGGAGATTTTAACCAGTGCAATGGAGATTTCACCTGCAAAAAGCTACAAGGCCTTTGCTATTGTGTTATGTGTGGACACTTCTGTTATATGTTGCGTGTCTATATGTGCATATGTCCATATATCATGTACATGATATGAAAATTGGCAGATATATAAGGAGCACTCATAAAATTTAGAAAAAAAAATGAATCCAAATACCTTTAATCCACATGATTCAAAATGGTTTAATTTAAATTGGGTAAACAGATGAAAATAAATATGGTTAAAATTAGACTTAACTCACAAGTCTCTCTAGGTGGTCAAAAAATTAATAAAACATTGATGTCTATAACATGTCTAATATTCTTTGGTTCTAGAAATTTTCTTCAACAAGGAAAAATGGCTAATACTGTTCAATATACTTCTCTGACATTTTGGTAAAATAAGTAAAGTAGAATTGACATGAGATTACTTATTTTTATCAGTAATTTTGTTTGTTAGACATCTGATTAATTTACAAGGTTAAAATGCTAACTGTTAAATATACTATCAAGTACTCTTAACTCTTTAAATTCCATTGGGTAACATTATTGATGTTCTCATAAATTGGTAAATGAAAAAAAAAATTGCTTTATCATCACTAAAAAGGATTTACTAAAAATTTAAAGTCCTAACAGGCATAATTCTATATATTAAACATTGTGTTTGCATGAAATGGTAAACAGATGTAATTCTATATACAAAGGTTTATTGAAGATTTTAATATGCAAAGGCCCAAAAGTTTCAACTCTTCCAATTAAGGGTGATATAAACAACAAAGTGTTTCTTTTTTTTTTTTTTTTAAATGAAATAATTTGTCTAAACTCAAAAATTTACAAGAATTGTTTCATATTGTGAACAAAAAGGGGGATAACAGATAGAAAAGAGAAATTAAAATTAAATTAATTATATGAGTTGGATATATAT